CTGCGGATGATATCGAAGGAGATATAACTCCTCGCGTGTCCCATATGTGCGGAGTCATAGACAGTGGGCCCGCAGTTATACCACGTTATGCGGCGCTCATCGATGGCCCGGAACTCGCACTTAGATCTCGTCAACGAGTTGTACAGAAAGAGCTTATTCTTCGCGGTCTTCGGCGCGTCCGCCGGTGGCCACCAATCGGGTTGCGATCGCTTAGCACTCATTCCTCAACTTCTTAACGGCTGTCGGTGTCTACGAAAAACCGGATGTAGTGTCTGAGGGTATTCTGTGACCACTTGTGATTATGGGATCAAATGAATGGTACTTTTCTTGAGATATCACTCAAAAATGGGTTAATTTGGTGAGAGATTGGTATCAAACTGATAGTATCAGTGATACATACAGTGGTAACCAAACTATTGTCTAACTTATGGCAAGCATTGAGTCATACAATGTGTGCATTCAGTCAATGGTTTATCACCACAACTGCAGCCAATAGGTGGCGATCACTGGGTTTAGCGCTCTGTTTGTAAACAAAGTTTGTTTGAGTCTTAATATGTATAGAAGATGTCATTTGTTGAGACAATTGGTGGTCACACACAGACATCACCTACAGGTCTGTCCACTCGTGAGCCATCTGTCCACCAGATTGTCTTCGGCGACCGCTTCATCGACAGCGGCGACTCAGATCAAGACAAACGATTCCCGGTTCACGAAAAGTGGTCCCGATTTGCAGCACTTTATAAGACAGTCACAAGAATCGGATCCAATTAGATCCGAACCCTTTGTGGTGTCCAGAAGTTCGCCCATACCTTACATCGATGAGCATGTGTTGGATGGACAGGGAGCTAAAGGTATGTTTTGTTTGACACCATCAATATGTGACTCGTTATCATTGAACTTCTTGTGGTATATCTTAGTATTCATCCGAACCTATGGCTGTCAGATGAATGTAAACGACACCCAAATCGCGACAACGATTCTCAAGAACTCCGGATATGATATCGTCG